CCACGACGCTGAGCTTTAATTGGCTAAACAAGTGACTAAAAATACTATACCTAAATTTTTCTCCATTTAGAAACAAAACGAACCAGTTTCACCATAGTGAATTTCTCCTAACTGTCTCGGCAAACAAATAAAGATTATAATACTGGTCATGAGGTTGAAATTTATCCTAGGTATGAAGGAACGAGAGACGACGGTGGGCAGCTTTAGTGCAGAGGGCTGTGTACATGACGTACCGAGTAATTCTATCAGACAGGAGTCGTGCTGTGAGTAATAAATGGTCTGTTTCTCTGACCCAGGGGTCTTGTGTCTTCTGTCAGTTTATGTACATAAAACAATGGCAGGCTAACTTGTTAGCTTCCAAGTAGGGTAAAATCTCAGACCCTTCACAGTTTCTGACTTAACACTGAGGAGGAGAGGTCATAACTGTCATACTTCCACATGGAAGGAAACATCAGAAATGTCCCCTGACACGTAAGTTCTCAGAGTTTCCTGGCAGAACGAAGGGTGGGGCGTGGGATGGTGGAGACAAAACTTTCAGAACATCTTCTGCTGGGGCCTCTATTCTCCTAAAGAGAAGAGCTGAAGAGAGAGATGTAAATTAAAACCCAGTCAAATGTCACTGAACATTAAACAAATGGCAAATATGAAAATGTTGGACAGGACTTCCCCAGCAGTCCAGTGGTTAAGACTCTGTGCTCCCACTTCAGGGGGCATGGGTTCGACCCTTGGTCTGGGAGCTAAGCTCCCACAGGATTCGCAGCAAGGCCAAACAAACAAACAAACAAACAAACAAAAAAAAAGATATGAAAATGCTGGATAACCAAAGTGATGAGAAAATGTGAGGTGGGAGGACCACACATTCACTGCTGGTGAGAGTCTAAATGGGAGTGATTTACTCTTGAGAGAGTAATTTGGCAATACTAATAAATTGAAGATACCAACTCAGAGTTCTTGAAATTTTACTCCTAAAGGTATACTCTGAAGAAACTCTTGCAGAAGTTACACATATAAGAATTTTATTGTAGCACTGTTTGTAAGTGAAAATAGAAAAAAATTTAATATCCATGAAGAGGAGAATGAATAAATTAAGGTAAATTCACACTACATAGAAGCTTAAATGAATAAACAAAATGACATATAACAATATGGATAAATCTCAAACACATAATATTAAACTAATGAATGTATTAATAAGTTGGTGATACATACATACAAATTCCATTTGTATAAAATTCAAGAACACATGAAAAAATGGTAAATATTTTAGAGAAGCAGTCCCCAAATTTTTTGGCCCCAGGGACCAGCTTTGTGGAAGAGAATTTTTTTCCAGGGACTTGGGGTGGGGTAATTGTTCTCAGGATGGTTCAAATGCATTACATTTATTGTGCACTTTATTTTTAATCTAATGCTGCTGCTATCTGACAAGAGGTACTGGTCTGTGGTCCAGAGATCGGGGATACATTTGTCTTAGGGATACATTCATATGCAATAAGAGTATAAAAACATGCACAGAATGGGTATTTGATAATAGGAGAACAAATGGAATAGCATAAGGAAGGGTATATGGAGGTTCTTCAATTATAGCTGTGATATGTTATTTTTTAAGCCTATTGTCAATGAGTGAATGGGGCTTCCCTAATAGCTCAGTTGGTAGAGAGTTCGCCTTCAATGCAGCAGACCCTGGTTCGATTTCTGGGTAATGAGTGAAGTATTTGTTACATTTCCTTCCATATCTTTTGTGTCTGAAATATTTCAGAAAAACTTTTGAAGAGTATCATTTATATCAGAAAAGGACAGATAAGATTTGGGGAACTATAACTTAATGATAAAAAGATTTCTACCTTAGAAGATAAAGAATTATGATGTAAGAATGAATTGACTCAATCATCCATGAGTTGGACAATGCATTTCTGAAATCATCAATCATTTCTATAGTATTGGATACAATTCTAGAAAATTTCTTCCTTCTGTTTTGAGTTTTTTGAGCCATTTGTAAAGTTCTTAACTTATTATAGAGTATTATTAATCAATAATGTAATTAATAATATACTAATTAATTTAATTAGTATTTGTTAATAATGCATGCTAAGTCACTTCAGTCATGTCTTTTTGCACCCCTAGGGATTATAGCCCACCAGGCACCTCTGTTTATGGGGATTCTCCAGGCAAAAACACTGGAGTGGGTTGCCATGCCCTCCACCAGGGGACCTTCCCGATCCAGAGATTGAGCCCACGTCTCTTATGTCTTCTACATTGGCAGGCAGATTCTTTACCACTAGGGACACTTGACTTAGGTCAGGAAGTAATGTCTTGGAGCTTATCTTGGCAACAAATGGACACACATCTACCCTAAAGGATCAAGTGTATGTTTCTGAGGAGGAAAGATCATTCTGATTATTATTCTTTCACAACTATCAAGTGAAAACATTTTTAAAAAATTCTAGTTTCTGGTGAACAATTTTGAATGTCTTTAAAATGGATACATAAACCAAATCATAATTGTCCTACGGAAGGAAGTGTCCCAAATACTTTTTCTGAATTTCTGAGACTGAAATTTTGTGACCTCAGTGTCTCCATGTTAAGGATGATTTGGGGAACCACCATATCAATTCCTTCTTATCATTCTTTAGGGAAAAAGTGAGATGAAAATGTGACTTGGTGTGGTCCGCTTATGATCTGACACATAATCTCATCTTAAATCACAGGACTTGACATTGTGATCATTTCAAGTTGTGTATCTGGATTTAGTGATGCTATCACCATTGGCAGGATATACTTAATCCTCTATATTTTAATGTTTGCCTCCTCTCTGAAACTTCAAAATATATCCCATACTCCACAGACAACCGCACCAGTTCTCCCTTACCTTGAGCTTGTTAATAACGTTTACAAGGTATCATTAAACAGGTATGATCTGGTTCTGCAGTAGGAGACCAAGACTAAATTGTTGCTTCTATTGTTTGCCCAGTTGGGCAGTTAAAAGGTCAGGAAAGAGGGCTAAGAAGGAAATGTGTACAAGCTACAAACTGAACCCCCTGCAAGCCATCTCTAGCTCTGCAAAGAGAACATTCTAGACCCTTTCAAGTTTCAAACTTCATCTGGGCTTCCTTCTTGGATAGACCAGCATGAGTTCAGAAAAACACCTGCTCCTTGAAGTTAAAGTGGTAAAGCCACCAACTTGCTGTAAGTATTCCAACTTCCAAAGTACTGATCATTTATGATGACAGACAGCTCTGCCGTCTGGACAAGCAACTGAGAATTTATTGACCCTTGAATTTAAAAAAATTTAAGACCAAGACCAAGACACAGTACAATTTACAAAACAAAAGTAGACTCAACAAAACATCCACCAAGACTCCTCTCTGAAAATGTTCACAGACTGTTGAAGCTGAGAGGTGAACTAGAAATCAACTCTCTTTCTTCCTATTTTACAGGAGAGGAAAGGGAGGCTCAGAAAAGATGTATCATTTAACAAAGGCCAGGGAGCCAGTTAATAGGAAAGCAAAGACTAAAATTAGTCTTTGGACAAGTGCAACTTCCTCTACCATGTTCAATTCTGAGACGAATAATGTCGTTTACTTATAAGTGGTATTATAGAGTGATTGTTACAGAAGTGATTTCATAGCACAAGAAAGGAATGAAGATACAGCATACGTGGAAAGAGTTGAGAGAGCTAAGAGAGTCGCTATGATTAACTGATTAAGATATGTTATATGAGTTTTAAAAATGAAGGGAGTTACTTTGTTGGGAGAAGAAAAGAGAGAGGAAATAAAGAGCTTGTTCTCCCTTTCCATGAAGTTCTGACTTATTCCACAGAGTTTAGCAGGAAAGATTTTATTTGAATATAAAGAACTTTGGGTAATATTTTAAACAGTGTTAATGATTATTGACAGGCTTCCCAGATGGTGTTAGTGGTAAAGAACCTGTCTGCCAATGCAGGAGACATAAAAGACACAGGTTCAATCCCTGGGTTGGGAAGATCCCCTGGAGGAGAGCATGGCACCCCACTCCAGTATTTCTGCCTGGAGAATCCTATGGACAGAGAAGCCTGTCCACAGGGCTACAGTCCATAGGATAGTAGAATCAGACATGACTGAAGTGACTGAGCATGCACGCATGCAATGATTATTGCCAAATATTTTGGTCTTGAATTTTTTAAAATTCAAGGGTCAATAAACTCTCAGCTGCTTGTCCAGTTAGATCCACTGAGTGCTTGGCTGAATTTGCTCTCTAACTTCAGAAATCCAAGATTTAATATTATTCCAGCTTTCCTAGTGGTAAAGAGAAACTGAATGACTTTGCTAGAGAAGAAAAGTTCATATTGGGATTCTTATTTGATGTAAGGAAAATCAGGTTCCTTTGTTCTTGGTTCTCTCCTGACCGGCCTGAGGCTATGCTAGGTCTCTGCAGTATGAGGAGCTTGTGGACTGATTCAGTCAGAGGACTGATACTGTATGGGATGGTCTCTGAGTCATCCCAGGAGTGGAAAGGGCTTAGTCAGGCATTTTATATTTTGTTCAGTTAAATTCATAAATCATCCACTGTGTGCCAGATACAGAGCTAATGGGTCACTTTCAAATGAGACAGGCTTCACCATCATGGGGCTTTAGTCTAGTGGAATAGACAGGCCTTAGCAAATTATTTCAGATGTGATGAACACCATTCAAGGGGAGCTAGATGGGGAGAAAAACCTAGGCAAAGTCAATGTAGCTTTTACTTTGGCCTGGATGAGTCAATTTCTGTTTCATGGGACAAAATAAAATTTAAAGATCATTGCCTCTTAAGAAATACCTATTCATGGGGTCCTTCCGGCGTCGCCGGAGTGAATTGATCCGGGAGTTGAAGAGGGCTTCAAAGGTGGGAAGTGAAGTCAGTACCTCAGTAACCGGTCAGTATATGTTTTGTGCTTTATTTTATCACAAAAAAAAGAAGAAAGACTGCAGTGAATGAAGATTCCTCTGCATTTTAGCACTGCTTTTTCTGCTGTAGTTGGTTTTTGAATGAGGATGACAATGGAAGAGATGAAGAATGAAGCTGAGACCACTTCTATGGTTTCTATGCCCCTCTATGCAGTCATGTATCCTGTGTTTAATGAGCTAGAACGAGTAAATCTGTCTGCAGCTCAGACACTGAGAGCAGCTTTCATTAAGGCTGAAAAAGAAAATCCGGGACTCACACAAGACATAATTATGAAAATTTTAGAGAAAAAAAGTGTAGAAGTCAACTTCACAGAATCCCTTCTTCGAATGGCAGCTGATGATGTAGAAGAGTATATGATTGAACGACCAGAGCCAGAATTCCAGGACCTAAATGAAAAGGCACGAGCACTTAAACAGATTCTCAGTAAGATCCCAGATGAAATCAACGACAGAGTAAGGTTTCTGCAGACAATCAAGGATATAGCTAGTGCAATAAAAGAACTTCTTGATACAGTAAACAATGTCTTCAAGAAATATCAATACCAGAACCGCAGGGCACTTGAACACCAAAAGAAAGAATTCGTAAAGTACTCTAAAAGTTTCAGTGATACTCTGAAAACCTATTTTAGAGATGGCAAGGCAATAAATGTGTTCATAAGTGCCAACCGACTAATTCATCAAACCAACTTGATACTTCAGACCTTCAAAACTGTGGCCTGAGAGTTGTATATGTTAAGAGATGTACTTCTCAGTGGTAGTATTGGACTGCCTTTATCTGTAAATTTTAAAGTTTGACTGTATAAATTATCAGTCCCTCCTGAAGGGATCTAATAATCCAGGATGTTGAATGGGATTATTGCCATCTTACACCATATTTTTGTAAAATGTAGCTTAATCATAATCTCACACTGAAGATTTTGCATCACTTTTGCTATTATCATTCTTTTAAGAATTATAAGCCAAAAGAATTTACGCCTTAATGTGTCATTATATAACATTCCTTAAAAGAATTGTAAATATTGGTGTTTGTTTCTGACATTTTAACTTGAAAGCAATATGCTGCAAGATAATGTATTTAGCAATATTTGGTGGCAAATATTCAATAAATAGTTTACATCTGTTAAACATTTCTTTACTTGAAAAAATGCATATATATATGTGAATATATATATGATCAGAAGGCCAAGAAGACTTGGTGTGATGTCTAAAGAACTTCTAAGGGGAGCTTATTAGCAGTTTATCGGATAATAAAGCAACAAGAATTCCTATTTTTTTGTCCTTAATCACTCTGGGCAAAAAGTAGTTGATGGAGATATTTTTGTTAGTTACTATATTTGAGGTACTGAGTATTTTTCCAACCTTTGTTTTAAGAGACTTATGAAAAGCAGATGGCAGTTTATAGTGTCTTCACATTCTACTGCCATTTTTGAGCTCTGCAACAATGTAAGATTAAGTCTTTCTGGTATGCTGGGCCCTAATAAGCTTTGCGCCTTTTTTCCATAAATAGCCACAACTAATAGTAATTTGAAGCTATACCAATGCTAGTTGGTTTGAAATTGTCATGAGTGTTAATAATATCATATACACTCTTTAAATATGTACAGTTTTGTTTCACCGTAGAGAAATTCTAAGGAAATTATGTACTAAGTATTCATGTTAAGTGATTTCATTTTTCAATTATGATAAAATAAAGGAAAAAAAATCAGAAAAAAATACCTATTCATTCACTTTTATAAGTAAATACTTAGGAAAATGCTTCATATTCCTAATATGAAAAAATGGCCTAATATTTTGTATCAATCCAAAATAATATTAATTACAAAAGGACTGTTAAAAATCGGTGGAATGGTTAATTTTAAACACTTAAATATAGAATTTTGGGGGGTTTCCCACACGGCTCAGTGGTAAAGAATCTGCCTCCCAATGCACGAAATTCACAAGATGTGGGTTCCATCCCTGGGTGAGGAAGATCCCCTGGAGAAGGCAGTGGCAATCCCCTCCAGTATTCTTGCCTGGAAAATCCCATGGACAGAAGAGCCTGGTGGGCTACAGTCCATGGGGCCACAAAGAGTCGGACACGATTGAATGAGCACGCATGCATAGAACCTTTATATACTCCCTGTACTTGACGGGGATGTAGACTAGGACATTATATTTTTTCCTTTTATTAGGCATCACGGTTGACCCTGAACCGAGTCAAAGTACTCATTTAAATAGGCATTATGGTGGGTTAGTCACATCATGGCTTGGGCTTTGCCTGAGTTTCCCCAGAGAGGAAGCCTGGACCTGTGACACAAGCTTGCTTGCAGGCAGCTTTCTTCAGTGTAGACAAAAAGGAAGAGAGAAGCGTGAAACTTGGAAGGAAGACTTATCCAACAGGATGTTATTGAGCTGATTACTGCTATGGGAAACTGGGGTTCCTTCCTGTAGGGACAGTCTAGGAGACATTGTGAGTGTGCCTTAAAATTATCAGCATGCCACTTTTACTCCTGCATCCTCGCCCACAACAGGGAGGGTTGTCCTCTCCATCATTGCTGAGCAGGCCTGGCAAGTGTCCATCCCTGGTGGCAGAGCAGCCCAGGACACAAAGCAAGAGGACATGAGCATCTGAGGTAAGGTGCAGTCAGGCTCCACCTGGCTGTGGCCATGTCTAGGGAAGGGACAGCGGTCCCTCACAAGGACTATTAAAAACAGTTCCTTCAAAACTACAATCCAAAAGATAGCAGCCCTATTTACAACAGCCAAGACATGGAAACAGCCTAAATGTCCGTCGACTGAGGAATGAATAAAGAAAATGGATATCATTCAGCCAGAAAAAAGAATGAAGCAATGCCATTTGCAGCAACACGGGTACAGTTAGAAATTATTACACTAAGTGAAGTAAGTCAGACAAAGAAAGACAAATACCATATGATATCACTTCTATGTGGAATCTAAGACATGAACTTATCTATGAACCAGAAACAGACTTACAGACATAGAGAACGACTTGCAGTCGCCACAGAGGTGCAGGAGGTGGGGATGAATAGATTGGGAGTTTGGGATTAGCAGATACAAACTATCATATAAAGGGAGGATAAATAATTAGATTCTACTGTATACCACAGGGCACTATATTCAATATCATGCCATAAATCATAATGGAAAAGAATATGAAAAATGTGTATATATGTATAAATGAATCACTTTGCTGTACAGTAGGAATTAACAACATTATCAATCAACTATATTTCAATAAAATTTAAAAAAAAGTTCTTTTCCATACTGGTCACAGCATCTACAATGTCTAGCAATTCAATGGGAAATATAGAATTTTTCATTCTGAAGCTTCTTGGAAATAATTTTGTGAATTCAGGATACAAAATGGACCCCATGGTGTTAGTAGGTTTAGCAGTTTAATGAGTATTTGTTAGCTAGAGCTTTAGAGAATGACAAGGAATCATTTCAAAATGCTGATGTTAGTGGATTGACACCGAGATTTATTCATGTATCTATCAGACCAATGTTCTCAAACCTCTTCTATGAGCCACACTCATGATGGATACTGGGGATAGAAACTTAGTAAGATATGATTCCTTTCCTCAAAGAGAGCTCAGTCAGTGGTAGATAAAATTAAATACATAAAGAACTCCTCAAATAAACTCTGAGCCATATCACAGATTTGAAGAGAATGAGAAGAGCACCACCCACTCTTCCTCGGATGTTGGGAAGGAGTCACAGAGGAGGGTGTTGGGAGCCAGGACTAAAGACAGCTTTAGTAACCATACATTTTCTTTTCCTTTATACATAGTTGTTACTAGTTGGATACATACAAAAACACAAGAATGGATGTCCTAATGATTCCTATTATGATGTGGTGCTAACGTATGTGAAGTCAGCCCTGTCTTCAAACAGTTCACATTTCAGTTTTCCAAACAGAATGGTTAGATTCCATCATGCTTCTTCTTAGTTGCTAAGAACTTCATAAATTCCTCTTTGTAATTTTACTTGCTTTCAGACAATAATTGTTAACTGATAAATAGGAGAATTGTCAGGTGTGGAATCAGTAGTGAGAAAAAGATAGTTTCTCTGTTGCATTTACAAAGAATCCTCGATAAGACCTCTGATTCCATTAAGGATATAAACTCTCAGATGGAGTTGATGCCAACCTCATGGGCTGCCTGAGCCCTCACCAGCTGGGCTGTGCTCAGAGCATGCTCAGCCAAAAGGGGATGAAATCAGTGCAAGAATTTCATGGCCTCCAAGAAAATTACTGTTGAGAGATGACCTAGTTCCTCGACTGGTATCACCAGAAGACAGGCCTCTTTGAGAAATGGATGTAATGACAACTACCAGCTGCTTAAAATTTTCTGTATTATATGCATTTGCTTTCAAATGACTTTAGCGTTTTAGCATAAGCCACCACTTGCTCTTCTCCAGGATCTGGACTCTAGGCATTTTTAAAGCAGAAGGCAGAGGCAGGCCTGGCAAAGCAGTGAGCCACTCTGCATCTCACAGGATGGATGAAAGCATTTTTGCTTGGATCCCTTAATGATCCCAGGCCAAGAAAGCCATATGAGTAGATTAGTGATTCCAAACTGAATTCTTTCCTCTCCACTGTGTTTCTCTCCATTGTTCTCATTCACAAGGACCACAGATAGTGGTGCGAGATTAAACCCTCTGACCATGAGCTCTGCATTGCCACCTTCCCATCCTTGGCCCACACAGTTTCTGGCATGGATATGCTTTGGACTTAACTCATTCTCATGTCTACACTGACTTATGAAAACTCTTGAAAGAATCCTACTTTGTTCTATGAAAGATCTAGATGTTTGTGAAGAGAGAAAGTGGGTTATGGGAGTTGAAAAGGTAAAACAGAAAACTAGAGCAGAAACTATGGCACTCTTTGCAAATGAATGAAATTCCACAGGATTCTTTGTTGATTTGCCACCAGTGCTATACCTGGAAGTCTCCTCCCTCTCCCCATCCACTGCCCAGATTGTTATCTTTAACACCGCCGCCCCCCCCAATCCTCCACTCATGCCATTTGCCCTTGGACTGGGAAAGACTGTGGATACCATATTGCAAAGATATAATAGCAATAGCAACAGCGGAAAATTTTTAAGTTGCACTGTCTACTGGGCTCTTACTAAGTGCCAGGCACTATTCTTGGCAATTTTACATATTAACTCAGTTAATTCTCACAACAGTGCCCTGGGGACACACTGCAATATTCCTCCTTTGTAGGTGAGGGACTGGGGCATAGAGAGCCCAAGTAACTGGCCCAAGGTTATACAACTAAATGTGTCCCTCTCTGGAGTCACCACTCTTCTGCTTGGGCTAAAGGACCAATTAAGGAACCTATATAATGCACTAATGTTAATTCCTATTATTTCTTTGCCAAACGGAAAATCAGGGATTAGAAAGTGTGGGAGGGAAGAACATCTTATGTCACTTCCAGGGGAAATGATTTAAGACATTTAGCTTCTTTAACCCAATAACATCCTTTTGGAATGTGTGAGCTCTGAGCCATCCTAAGGGTGTCCTGTATCCAACAGATGACACTAAATAGTTTGCTAGAGCAACTTGAATGCATTCCTCCATATGGATAATACCTTTGGGAAAACTGTGAACGGTAAGTTCCTACCACACACCTTCTTTCCAGGGACCCACACACGGTGACATTCATCCACACGTGGGGGTGTTACTGGCTGCTGCAGGCAGGAGGGTCAGATAAAGCG